AATACATAGACATAGGGACCATGTCACAGCGACGATGAGAGTGGATATGATCACAGGGGCCAATTCACATGCCTGATGAAAGTCAAACGGATAGACAAACGAAATTGGTTTGCTAGAAAATGAAAAAGAAAGAATCAAAGGTACTTGATAAGGATCGGAGGGTTAGAGGGGGCAAGAATCACTTTTCCCTCACGGGACGTCAAAGAGTAATCACTTTTCGCCTTGCTATAAACCCTAACTGTGGTTTTACTGTATGGATATGTTTATGATGGAAGGCATATGGTGGACAGGTTGTGATGGTGGTGGTGAACGGTAGTAGTCTGCCATGCATGGTTGATGTGGTGGAGGAGGGCGGAGCTCAACATGGGGAGAAGGTGGGTAAGGATTTTCTTCACGGTGATGATTGGACGATTGGTGATGGTCAATATGAGGAGGCCGAGGGTGGTAATTAAATGGTGGTACGCTGCGACTTTGGTCCCTATGTGACATTGTATGTGTGTGTGTGTGTATATTAGTTAATTGCATAACAGGTCCCTAAGTTTGATTTTTTTTTTTTTGAAAAAACAAGATAATTAAGAAAACATGTAAAATGACTAAAAATACCCTAATTTAATTAGAGTTAATGGCCGTTAGGATAAGGGACGAAAATTGTTGCGAGGTGTCAAACGTGAGGGACAGATCTATTAAACTAAAGTTGAGAGACGAAAACCGTTGAAATTAAGAAACGGTAGGGACCAAAAATGAACTTCAATCTATAGTTTTTATTATCAATACTATCTTGCGTGGAATATAAACCATACTCAACTAATGATTAGAGTCTAACGAGTCGTTTATCAAATACTTATCCGGTAACCGCTTACCGGTAAATTTAACACTATCATTTACTTACCAGATAAGATTTTAGTTCACCAAAACGATATCTATGCAACAATTTACCCGGTAAGCGCTTCCGTGGTAAGAGTCGTCGCCTTCACTTACCGGGTAAGACTCTTGGCTCTTGTCTTGCTCTTACCAGATAAGATTCTTGATCCTTGCCATATCATCCGATAAGATAAAATGACTTGGTGTTCGCTTACCCGAGTAAGCGTTTGGTAAACGGCCCCTAAATAAGATAACCCTTTATGATAAATTACAAACGGTCTCTCACTCAAACAAAGTGTATAAACTAGTTAGATGGGAACTAAGAAATTCTCGAAAGGAACGAACTTGTGTATGCTTGAAAGCTTGATTTTTTTAGATGTACGAACTTGTTCTTTCATGTTCCTTCTCTGTTATATATATATATATATATATATATATATATATATATATATATACTTCTTGAATTGCTAAGCAATGGCTCGTCCATGGGATAATAGCAAGAAATTGGCTTTGGTTAATCTTCTTGCCATCCTCTTAGGGTTGTAGGAACAATGGTGACTCATGTCGAGCTTCATGCACCCATAGTACATTTAATGCAAGTCATACCCCATATATATATATATATATATATATATATTATTACGTTATAAGAAAGCATGCTTAAATGTGCTATGAACTTGACTTTATGGCCTTCATTGTAACATTGTATGGGTCTATAGTTTCTTTGTCTTTTTCATATTAAAGTGAATAAAACACAACTTGCTTATGAATTGGATGTTAGACCTAGTTTTAGGGTCAGAATCTGAATCCGTCAAAAAGAGTTATTCAACTGCTGAGGTCTACTCACTAGTTGATGACTAGCTCTGCAGGGACGGACCTATTTTGATGGCCACCGTATTATTCCTCCGTCGAAGGGTAAAAGAATTTAAGTTCATGAAATGTGCAACCGTATTAATCTGTTGTGTGTCACCGTATGTATTTTAAGACTACAATCATAACAAGTTTTATTTGGTAGAGTTGGTTTACAAAGCTTTTATTCCACCTCAGACCCAAGTTCGAATCGTGTTAGTGTCATTTTCCTAGTCAAATGGTGTCGTTGATTGAAAAAAATTTCGTATATTTGTTTCTTATAGTCAAACGGTGCCACCGTTTGAAATTTTTCCCTATAGAATTTTTCTTATAATCAATTGGTGCCACCGTTTGAAAAAATTTCTACGTCCGTCCTTGAACTCTGTTGCTGAATATTTTAGTTATTGGCTCGTTCCCAATTGTCTGTTGCTGAATATTTTAGTTATTGGCTCGTTCCCAATTGTAATGAAAATATTCTTTAACTATATAACAACTTTTAAAATGTTTTATCAATTATATAAGAACTAGTGTCATATTCTTTTTATTTCATAAATAGAAAAACTTTGATAAGTAATTTTAATAACAAAAATTTAGTTTTAATTATTAATTTATTTTAAGAAATTATTAATTAATTAAGATATGTAAACTTAGTTAACTTTTGTTTTTATTCATACTAGAAGGGTATCCGAGCAATGTAGCGAGATATATCTCGATTTTAATGTTTTGTTTTAATTTTTTTGGTCTCTGTCGATATTATAATATGAATTTATGTGGTTTTGAGCAAGTAATACTGTATTTTTAATATGAATTTAAAGATCATAAAAATTATAAAAATATAAAAGTTCTTATTTTTTGTGTAATTTATTTAATTCATTTTTTTAAATAATTTAATTTAGGTTTAATGACGAAGTAGTCTGTTTTTGGTTTAATAATATAGTTTTTATAAAAATAATAACTAAGTATTCTATTAGAACTTAATAATTATCTTCATTGTCTTTTAGATATATTTAAAATAAGAATTTTATCTTGTATTTGATTATATTTATTCACAGTTAATTATACGAATTCAAATATAAAGTTTAATAAGTTGTATTTAGCATAATTTACTTGTAATCTTGAATTATAAGTAATATACATCAATATACAGTACTTCATGCATAAAAAATGATTTTTAAGAGTTTTTGTCAAATGCTTTATAATGTAGTATAGATTATACTTGATGGTATTAAAAATCATCATCGAATGTCAATTTTTTTTCTAAAATTCTAATTTAGTTATACTAATCTAAAATTTATATATATATATATATATATATATATATATATATA